CCGAGAACATACAAAAAAAGAACACCCAAATCTGACTTCGTATGAGGAAGTTATGAATTTTCTAAGATTTGACATAGCAGTGCACGGCCCGAAACTCAAATTTTAGTTCGAGCGGTTTTTGGCCTACGCGACCTAAATGAGAGTTGAAGATCTCATTAATAGGAACTCAACGGTAAAAAGACAGACGAAAACGGAGTCCGTATGTAGAAGTTATGAAATTTTACGCGGACATTTAACAGTATAATCTCCTCCTACTGTTAAATTTAAGATCGGTCGAGAATTAGCCGACGGAGTCTAAATGAAAGTTTTAGATCTTGTTTTAACTACACATGGATATAAATAATGTCGAGAGTAGAGCTCGTATGTTAAAGATATGGACGAAACTTGGTCCCAACTTTTCGAGCGCGATAAATTCGATATAGTTTTGTAAATCTGAGATAGAATGAGAATTAGCTAACGGCGTCTAAATGAAAGTTGTAGTACTCGTAAATACCAACGCGTGAATATAAAGAACGTCAAAAATGGAGTTCGTATGAATGAGTTACAAAATATAATAGCATATTTACGTATTAAAATAAAGTATAAATCATATATACGTACACATATATATACAAATATATATATCATTAGAAATGTATCGACGATGCGGTTATTATAAGACTAGTGTGAGTACTTTCGACATTAGTTTAGTAACAATTATTGTTAAATCTATTTAAAATAGTATTATGGAGGGGTGTTTAGTCGTTATATAACTATAAGGTTATTAAGTAATTATGGAGGGTAGTTTTTGTAAATTCAATTACTATAAATAAGAGGCTTGGACTCTCATATTTCTTGCACCATTCTCTTGATTCAATAGTCTTTATGTTCTTATCCCCCGAGCACTTCGGTCCCTCGTGATTCGACTTCTCTTTCTGTAGTTTTAGTATAGTAAGGTGAGCGCTGAAGCGCTGCACGAATCTTTCTTAGAAAGATTCAGCGACGAAGTTCTGCCCCTGCAGAGCCCGACTCCTAGCTAAAATCCCCTTGTAAGTAAGTTATGCTTACCTATTTTAATATAGCTTATATTTAAAATTAGTATTGTTATTATGAACTTATAATAAATATTTGAGCTATTATTATGACTTATATAAGTGTCGTTATAATATCTTTTTAACTACTCGCGGTACGGGGAATCTGGTTTAAAGGGCCGCATATGGTTGTTGGCTTTTAGAAGTGCTATATGCCAAAATGGTCCTGCCCTCCAGTGTTTTATTTTGGCCCCTGTCTGTACATAGTGGTTGGAAAGTATTGTTTAAACGCTTATATTATAATAATAATAATAATAATAATAATAAGACTAATAATTAGTCACGGTAAATATTAGACTAAAATCTAGTGGTAATAATACTAGGTTTCGTAGAAGGAAATTATTTTAAAGTAAACGAAGCGTTGTCCGAGTATCGAGTCACCACCTTATCAAGTGAGTGCATAGTTACTTTCATCTTACACATAGATATGAAGTATTTAATATAAACTACGTGCTATGTGTGCATATTGTCTGAATACTTGCTGTCTATGTTGGTGAAAGATTTTTATACATGTTTTAAATGATTTAAACTGTATATGTATTTTATATCTACAAAAAAGTTGGGGTAAAACATGGGTAGATGAAATATGAGTTGGACGATAAGTTGAGAGGTAATAAAGACCATGAGGTAAGGGTGAGAGGTGGACGATGTGAGAAGTCTTTTTCCAAATGTTGGCCCCACATCTAGCAGAGTATGGATGACAACCGCGGACTATTTTAGACAGTCCAGTGGAACACTAGCAGGCTCGCAACCTGTAGGTGTTGTGAACGATATGTTCACCGGTGTACTCTAAAAACCCATTGACCTGTATTGCGAGTGGACTCTCGAAAATGATACTGTCAACCCTGGCAGATGCGCCTAAAGGACTCTATCGGCAGAAGCGCCTAAAGGACTCTATCAACCCTGGTAGATGCGCCTAAAGGATTACACCGGCAGATGCGCCTAAAAGGACTATACCGGCAGATGCGCCCCATAAAGAATGTTACAATTCTGGCAGATGCGCCTAAGTGATAATATTAGCAGTTGTGCTTGACAGATGTGTCATTAGCAACAATGGATTTCGTGCCTATTCCTTAGGATAATCCTTAGGAATGAACGAGGAATAGCTGATTCTTAGGGTAGATCCTTAAGAGTAAAGAAGATAATGGGGATGGGTAATTGGGTTGATTGTTTGATGTTTAAACATAATAATTATATTATTGTGGGTTGAAATCTTATGTACTCACCAGGTTTCCCAACCTGACCCATTCAGTTTATTTGAATCACAGGTGTCGATATGAAGTTACATTACACTGAGAGATTAAGGAGATATAAATCACTAGTGAAAATGAATGTAAGTAATGTTTATGCTTATGTTTCCGTATTGACGATGACATCCCAATGTTTTAAAACGAATAAAATACATTTCTTTGGAAATGCTTTGATAACGTATTTATCATGTTTTTCTGGGAACAAATTCCGCAACATTTTTATTAAAAAGGGTACTCTGATTTTTATCAAGCATAAACAAAATCGGTCTTTTCTGGCCGTGAAAATTGGGATTTTTTGTAAAAAAATACAGCTAGTTTTTCATAATTATTTAATGACCTTATAGTTATATAAACGACTAGTTTTTCAAAATCGGTCTTTTCTGGCCGTGAAAATTGGGATTTTTACCAAACGTTATTTTTTATCAGTTAGTTTTTCAGCTACCAACTAGCTTTTTATTTAACAACTAGCTTTTCAGCTACCAGCTAGTTTTTTAGTTAACAACTAGTACGCCAAACATAGCCTTAATAATATATATAAATACTTTTAAATGAAAAAAAAACTTTAAAATTGTTTTTTAAGGTATGAAAATATATTAATACGGTTTTCTTATGTATTTAATATATTTATACATATTTTTTATGTATAAATATGTTTTATAGATATAAATATATATTTAAAATATATTTATATATGCATTTATTTAATAATATTAATAATAAATATATTTATTTGCGTTTTTAATAGAATATAAAAAATAAAAGTTTGCGGAAAAGTTCCAATATCTCAGGTCAGTTTACGAAATAGTTCCAAATTAATTTTTTTACCAACTGAACCAGGAGAAAATGATCAGATTGCAACATTTTATCGGTTTTTAGGATTTTTTTGTAAAAAAAATACATTAATTTGTGACTATTTCGTAAAATGACTCAAAGTACTGAGATTTTTTTTTGAATATCTCCTTTAATTCCCACGTACTAAACTTCGGTATCTTCTTTTAGTATATCTTTGTTTTCAATGAATGTCAATGCAAAGATGATGACTGTCTTCTTTCGAATAACAACGCATTCCTGAATTTTTCATATGAGACGGTAGGGATGAACATATAGCACCATATCCCAGTCCCGAACCGGACCCGGTCCCAAACCAATACCGATTGTATATAATTGGTCCGGTATCGGTTTTGTTTTTGCAATGGATTCGGTAATTGGTCCAACTGGTTATGGTACCTTGAAATTTCCCTATTCTCCCGTTTTAGCACCGAGCACCAATTATACATCTTAAAAAACATCATCTTATGTGTCTTAATTTAATCTCTAAGTTAAAATTAAGGAATCTTTATCTTGTTGTATTTCAGTTAGCCATTATATATTAAGATAAGATATCACATAAATAGGACGTACTTTTGCAATTCAAAACCTAAAACCCTTCATGACTGAGCATATTATTCTCTAAGTTCAAGCCCCCCCCCCCCCCCCCCCCCCCCCCCCCTTTTTTTTTTTTCTGGATCAAGAATAATAACCATAGAAGCTAACTAACCAAATCAAGTAAGTATCTTTGTAATGTTAAGCAAATATGCAACAATGGCTTTTTTTTTTCTTCCTGATTTCATATTGTTTAAACCATGAATCTTTTGTTTTGATTTCAAGTATGCGCCATTGCCAAATACTTTTATTTGCTCTCATGTTGTTTATCCCATTATTCGTTATTAGCTAACACAGAAAGTTGTATTTTCTGGAATAATAATACGAACCATAACCAATAATAATAACATTAAGAGGTTTATAGCAAAATTGTAGATTATAGGTTTTACTTTACAAATCCTTTAATATGTAAATTACATATACTTAGTTTAAGATTCTAGTTATTAAATCGTTTAATTTGTCAATTTTAAAGTTCAAAAATCATTGTTCATGTTTACATATACATAGTTTACAAATCGTTTTACACGTTTACATATACATGCTTGTTTTGTTCTTAGTTGTTTATGAATTTTGATTTGTAACATACGAAGTGAGCCAAGAAAACGGACAAAAAGTTTGTACTATGTGCGTGCACATAATTCAGCACGACTTCACAAAGCTTCTTTACATGAGGTTTTTACCTGTATGAATTTTTATTATTTGTTTATTGTATGTAATTGGGTGATCAGTTTGAGTTCCTAATCCTAAATTAAGCACACTATTAATCACGTTATAATCGGTGGTCAATTTCAACTCTCTTATTATATATTCATGATACAGAACTCCAATTACCAATCACCGAATATGTTTCAATTTCCAATTACCTTGATCAACAATTGGGTTGCCTCTGCAAAAAGTGGAAAGAAAAATGAAATAAAATGATTATTTTGTTCTTTCACCTGTTTAGCATCGACGTAATTCTTAAATTTAAAAAAAAAATATCCTCTCTTTTTGTTAATTTCTTTTTGCATTTTGATTTTATTGAATATAAAGATATTTCACACGTTATTACGAATTTAACATTATAAATATTTTTAAAATAGCTCATGAACTATACCACCGGTCCGATAACATCTGTCCCGGTTCCGGCCCAGATGCTCACCGGTAACCAAACAACCTTCTAGCTAGTCTCCCATTATCATATTTTATTCGAATCTGATTCTCATTATTAAAAATTTAAAATTTATAATTACTTTAATGTTCTTATTCTTTTAATTTCATATAATTACGTACAATCGAACATCCCCTGTATAGAATTTTTACGAAGAAATCGTGAAACGATAACCTCTATGGAAAACAAAACATACTACTAATATTATTTAACACATTACCCCACCACCACAGTCACACACACACACACAGTGTCTATGCATACATAGATGCACATGATTCAACGCTGCTTCACAAAGCTTCCCATCCTCACCACAATCCCATCGATATCACGAACATACCCGACCCTCTGTCCCCATTCTTTATCCTCCGGCGGGCACACAGCCTCCGCCCCATTCTCCACCGCCCTCTGCAATCCAAATCCAACCCATCATATAAACAAATCCAAAATCTTATCATATATAAACACCAAATAGCTTTTCCAAAAAGGCACATTAATTATCAAGCACCTTGTATGCAGCATCCACGTCTGCATAAGCAAAGCAAACCTCAAGTTGATTCCTTATGGTTTTCGACTTTTGTTCCTGAACCTCTCCGGTGAGATCATCCGTTTCATGTTGATGCACCGGCGTAAACGCGATTGTTGTCTGTCCGCTTTCTAGCTCACCCCATCTATCAACAACCAACCACGACATGTTTCATTTCATGTCTGAATTCGATCATTTGATGAAATTATTGCAACATATGGATAGGAATCAAGAAACTATGGATCGATATCGATCCATTGATGAGTTTATATTGTTATATACCTGTGCGAATCGTCCAAACGGCGAACAGGCTGACCGAACGCCTTACCGTAAAACTCGACGGATTTAGCAACATCCTTGACGTAAACCACCGTGTATGCGTACTTCGGTTTCAAATCTGTCGCCATTTTACGATCTAGTTATGAGTTTTTTCCTTATTTCGATTTGCGCCGAGTTTGGTTTTAGAAAGGCATGCAGAGAATGAGAGAAGGGAATTAAATCAATTGATGAAGATGGATAGGTACTGATTAGGATCCGAAGGACACGTGGCTGATTTGTGTACACGTTGCTTTTACACATGGCAGTTGTTCATGCGATTTACCGATGAGCTGTTCTTTACTGGGCCGATAGATAGGAGTTTATAATTTTGGATTGTTAGGAGTTTTGGGTCGTCAATTTGCTCTTCTATTCTAGTTTGATAAGGCACTGGAGTACAATTTTTTTAATTAAAATTTTATATTTTGTCTGTTTAATAATTATAAAATACTAAATACGGGATGAAACTATCGTTGAAAAAGTTTCTTAATTTTGTGTTGTTAAAACAATTTATTAGGTACATTTTAAGTTACAGAAACTCTAATTGAAATTATATGTCGAGTTGTGGACTAACAGATATATTTTTCTGGTTTGTGTTTAAGACATTTATTTAGTTTTTTTTTTTTTTTAATAAACTTTTTCCAAAATGTCTGCTTTTTCTGATTTTCAGTTTCACTAAACCTCTATTCTTAAGGTTAATTTACTCTACTAGGCAATCTTTTTAACTACATCCTCCACAAAAATACATTCAACTTTACAGGAAAGAGATAATTACATCTAGTTGAAATATTCTCCACAATCAAGTTAGAGGAATCTACCCAAGTGGGTTAGTCCATTGCTCCTTAACCTTTTTTTTTTTTTTTAATATCATAAAATGATCAGTAACTCTCACTCACCATAAATTCGCAAAATTACTTTTCTTGTAAAACCATACTTCACAAATTTTATTAATTTTTTGCGATCATGATATTTTAGGTAAATCTGAATTAGCCACCGAAAAAATAATACTATTGTTTTACGGAATATGCAAAATTGATTTAAGATAGGTTTTTCTTTAAATGTATAATGCTTTATGGTTCCTAACTTCTTATGTTTGAGGGTGCGTGTTCAATCCCCACCAGTCTTGTTTTTTACATATTAAACAACAAAGAAGTTTTTATAGAAAACAGGTTTCCAGAAGATTCAACATATAACTTACGAGAGCCAAACATCTTAACCACTTTGTCTAGAGTAACTTTGTTTACATTTGTAACAAAATATAAATCTTAGATAAATGATCGAAAGTGCCATTTTTTATAGTTTTTTCTTTGAAAACAATTGAAAATGAACATCGCGTGAACTAAACTAGAAAAATGCAAAATAATATTGGCCTTATGATATTGAAAAGGTAATGTATTCGTATTTTTTTTTTGTTGTCAGTATAATTGTTTTGTGATATTTTTTTTGAAAAATTTTGGTTATGAATACGACCCACATATATGATCATTTTATTTGGTGATTAACTCAATTATATATTTATTAAAAGAATCCTCAATTGCTTGCGTAAATATAAACTTGTTTGTTTTTTCTATAAATAAAATTGAGATAACATTCATTTTCCTAAGTATTTAAAAAAACAAAGAAATCTAATCATATATATAATTCTTTTAAAAAATTTAATGTGAAGATTTGATGTGTCAAATAAGGTATTTGTATCGTATTTTTATCTAATACGACACGACAATTTTTCTATGTAACATGAATACAATTAGGATTGTTAATCGGGTCAACCCGATCGGGTTTCGGGTCAAACGTGCCGGGTTAAACGAGTTTTTTATTTAAAAACAAAAAATCGACCCTAAACCCAAACGCTTCGGGTATAAGATCGATTGCATATGATGTAATATTCGACCGTTCTGATTTTCCAAATGTCTAGGGTGTTAAAAGGGAAAAAGGACAGAATCGGGTATGACTAAAATAATTAAACAACTATTAAGGACAATCTAAGGTTCGCTAAGAATTGGTCGCTTGTGGGCAGTTGGAAGTAAAGTATTGAATGGAACATATTGACATTATTATAAATAGATATGATTCTATTACGAATGAGTTATCATATAGAAAATATGGAAATGTTTCCATAATGAGAGTTGGATATTAAGAATCTATGTAGATTATATAAACTTTTATGCAAGAACGATGTTCAAAGGAATGTACTTTGAATGCGAGACTTCATGTCTATGGAGTTGTCTTGTAACAATTTCCAATATAGCACTTTGTAATTTCGTTAGCAGAATTTTTGTGACTTTGGTGTTGTGACATTACAAAAGGATCATTGCATAAATATGTTAGAATCTAACATATTCTAATAGTAGCAAAAATTTGGTATTCTTACACTTATAATAAGGATTAGGAATTGTGAAATGAGCATCATTTGTAATGTGTTCAAATTGATCTATTTCACAAAGTAAGGACCATAGGTAAACATAGTGTGCATGCTTGGAGCATGGGACAACTAGTGTTTTAATTCAAGTGTTAGGTTGATTACTCGAAACATTATACAATGAATAATGTGTAATCAATATGGTGATTAAATAATAAGTGTTTTATTTATGCTCACAAGTTTGAGACCATATTGGATTCGATTATTCTTGTGTTTCACTTTGCATGTTTTGACTTCCAAAATAACTAGGTTATTCAAACATCCACAGTCGATCATACCTTGGAAGTAGGTATTGAGACAAGACTGTCATGAATCCGTCTGTAGATTGTCTAAAGTGTTTAGACATAGCACAAGTCTGCTGCAAAGTTCATGGGTACTCCTGAAATAAGATTTGAGTATTGGACTAAACCCACGCTCACGTGAATCACTTCATGTATTTTATCACGAGTGATTGTGAGACGATAATATCTTATATTCTTGAAATGAAGAGATATGAGTTGCAGTTTGCAAGTTAGTTGCACATTGATTATACGTAAACGCACCAGTAACTTGGTGTTATAAAACGTATTGTTGTGTGTGATTTGATAAGTAAATAGAGCAAGCATATGAGTCGACGTGTATCCGTTTCTTTTACCCTAAGGGGATAAAAACGATATATGTGGGGCCCTCGATGATTTAGTGATGACATCCAAAGCGCTTGGCCAAGCCTGGACTAAGTTGATGTGTTCAATTGTAGTCTGTTGTCAGTCGTCATAAATCGGAAATCGGGAAACAACACACGAACAAAGAGAATGACGTTTGTCACCCAGACCTGCCGGTCTAACTGTAGCTAACAATTTAGGTGTGGGATTGTCAATCTCGTATAGATCTATACACAAGTATCACGCTCTCCCTCCAGGAGACTCTGGTTATAAAACAGGACTTTCGTTTGTACTTTGAAAAGTACCGTGAAGAGAAGGACTCACAAGGTTTGTTCAACGAGTTTCAAAATAGTAAAAGTTCCGTAAACTGTATTTGAATAGTTTATCACAAGACTCAAGTTATACTCAATATATATATATATATATATATATATATATATATATATATATCAATGTTTTAAAAACCGGTTTTTAGTTGAACCGGTATGATGATCGGTTCCCAGTTCAATCGGTTTAACCGGTTCGACCGCTGGGTCAACCGGTTTCAATATTTTTCATATGTTTTCTTATTTTCTTACACATACATACATATATAAATCATGAATTTGATGTTTACAAGTTCAAACATTAAAAATACATATAAAAATAAGTTGTAGATGAATCAAAATACTTTAAAATAACATATAACCATAAGTTTTAGTGTTTTACATCAATCTATATACGTAAAAAAGAAAATAAATTATAATACCAAAACAAAATATAGTTTTAGATGAATACAAACACATTAAAAAACTTTATAACATTTATCATATGTTTTTATTTAGAGAAAACTAAATATATTTGAAAAAAAATCTTTAAAGTTTATTATGTAAATGTTTTTTTTCATGCGTTTTTATTCTGTTTAACCGGTTTATTTTGACCGGTTCGACCGGTTTTTCTACAAACCGGCCGGTTCAATCCGGTTCAGAAATCGACATAAAACCGGTGATAGTTGAACCGCTCCCTCCTCCGGTTCCCGGTTCGACCGGCCGGTTCAAACCGGTTTTTAAAACATTGATATATATATATATATATAGATATATATATATATATATATATATATATATATATATATATAGTTGAATAAAACAAAGTCTTTTATATTTGTTTATCATATCATTATGTTTTTACCAAAACTCTACCCGTAATAATATATATGAAGTTGATAGTAAAGTCTTTTCATAAAAATAGAAAGATAAACATATTTAGATGTTTGTGTTTTAATGTACATTTTCTTTTATGTTACTTGTATCCCCCCCCCCCCCCTTAAAAACATAGAAAAGACTTGTAAAATATAGGGGTATGAACTCACTTGATAAGGTGGTGATTTGGACAGAACTTCGCCTCTAAATATGTTTTTCCTTGACGAAATCGGGAGTTTTTGTTGAAAACTGGGCTTTGCGCGGACCGAGTTTCAAACCGAAAAGACTCTTTTCTCGGGGACTTCGAGAGCTTCGGTGCTTGCTTCGGGTGTTAGGGAGGTTCCCTAAGCTTCGGGGGGTTTTAGGATGGCTTAAGAGATAGTTTAGAATGAAAGAGTGAGTAAATTAGCAAACAAAACCGGGAGGTCTTGCATGCTATTTATAGTAGTCCGAGGTCTCACATTACGCTGGGCGTAACTTCGGGAACGCTGGGCGTAGTTGCAACGTGGCTTCTGATGGATATCCGAGCTTCGGACGTGTCACAGCTAGGACACGCGTCGATCATGCGAAGGTATAGGGCGACATGGCTAACTCCGGACCTTGTGTACGCGAACGCTGGGCGTAGTCTCGTACGCTAGGCGTACGACTTCGGATAAGGTTTGAAGTGTGTGCCCATAACTTCAAAAATTCATAAATTTCGTATACGAGCTTCTTTTTCGACGTTCTTTATATCCACATATAGGTGAGACCGTACTCTACGACTTTCGTTTAGACTCCGTTGGCTAATTTTGAATTTATTTTTTAATGTTATATTTTTAACAAGTCGAGACAAGAAAAGTTCGTTAAAAATTCATAAGTTTTTCATCCGACGTCCGTTTTCGTTTGTATTTTTACTGTTGAACTACTGTTAACTTGATCTTCAATTCTCGTTTAGGTTGTGCTGGCTAAAAATCGCTC